CAACTAACACCCACGCCCACACCCACACCCACACCCCCCACCCCACCCACACCAACCCACACCCCACACACCACCCACACCAACCCACACCCCACACACCACCCACACCAACCCACACCCACACCCACACCCACACCCTTGGAGAACTAGAAGAGAACCGGTCGTGGCTGCTGTTCTAATTATTGCAGTCATGCAATATTAACACAGGTTCTCTTCTAGTTCTCCTACTAGGAGTTAAACATTCGGTTTTTGTCGTAGCCCTTAGGGTTATGATGAATTGAATTATGCCACCTGATGAGACCCTTCAGCAAGGTCGAAACCGGTCGTGGCTGCTGTTCTAATTCAAATATCTAATTTATTTTATTAATCTACCTTTTCTTCGATTGCTATTTACTCTATCGGTAACGGATTGTTAACTTACTATTTTGAATTGTCTATACTAATTTACTTGATTTTAACATATTAATTTAACCGGGTAAAATTTAAAGGTCCTCCCGAACTAAGAATTAAAAGCATTTGCATTGATTTTAAAAAAAGACGTAAATTATGAAGCATAATAATAAAAGTTGCTTAAAGAATTTTTAAAATTTAGTTCAATCAACGTCATACGTATGAAATTATGATCGATACATTTTTCTCAACTCAGTAAAATTAAAGCCAAATAAGAGTTTAATCAGAAAAATCAGAGAGATATAGGTATGCTGTTCTTTACAAGTTTATTAAAATAAAACTTTGCTAATTATTTTTTCCCTTTTTTATCTATTTTATCTTCCCTTTTGGTTTTGTCTTTCTCCTATTATCTATTTTATTTTAATTTTCACAATTTAAATTGTAATTAAGATCCCTAACGAGCTTTCATGGTCAAATAAATAACAGAAAACGCGTCGGTGAAAATTAACTCTGCATCTATTTACTCATTCACATGTAAGCATAGCATTCATATTATGTATTATTCTGATGAATGATCGGTTCCTGAAAAGCAAAAGCTAGGACTAACAGATTCGACTTGTCTTTTTTCAAGACGTAGGATCAGTCTTTTTTCGATTGATTGAGGTATAAGTCTTGTCAACATCCGAAAAGTGATAAGACTGCTTCATCTATCAATCATTGTCTCGAACGAATCAAGAATTAGTAGTCTATTGAAGTAAAATGACAGGTAGTAAATATAAAATACTTGTAAACACAGTACATTAATGTCTGTAGTCGCAGACATAAAAATCATCGCATCCTTCAACAATAAAAAAACAAAACCTTGTGTTTTCGCCAATATAACCATTATCACCACGAAGACGAAGAGGAATAGAAGGATCAAAACGAGTAAGAAGACGAGCAGCAATAGCACCATAATAATCAGCACTCTCATCATGCGGAGTATTAGCAGCAGCATAAGCATAACCATAAGCAGCAAGATCATCATTAAAACCACTAGGAGCATTATGACTATAATCATCATCAACATCAATAACATGATCGTGACGATGACAACGAGGACAAGGCGGCATTCTGTTGGATGGTGCTAAACGAAATTTACACAAGTTGTTTCAGAAGTATTAATAGACAAAAGTTTTGATGATATGTTTCCTATTGGGAAGCCCATAATACGTAGTGAGTTCTATAAATTATCTATTTCAAGAGAAACATTAGGGACTCTAGTATCTTGCTGAAGTTCCGCTTTATTCTTTTCATTACTAAAATACAGATGTTAGTTCGTTCAAGACTGACGGAAACGTTTTTGGAGAAAAAATATGATGATGAACGATTTCTAAGTGCTCTACAAAAGATCTGACTTCCGCGCTCTTTCATAAGTTTTCTGGATCGTCAGAGTTGACACAAGATAACCAATCTCTTCAAGATTTTCTCCAAAGTCCAAGTAAGCTATCAATCGTGGAACTGTTTGGTGGATTTCTAAAAGTTTCACCAGTTTGAAGTCGCCTTGCTGTGGCAAAGCAAATGCGAAAATTATTTTATGATATCTAATAGAAACTATAGTACGACATGCTCTGTGTCTTTATATAGTCCATCGCATTAGATAGCCAAAAACTGTGGCTTCTGCGGTATCTCACGTGGTGTGGCAAACGGTAAGTTCTTTTTTAACCGAAGGAAAGCTGGAGCGAATAGCGGTTTTACTCAATATGTTTACAACAGGTAAGAGATCCTGGCTACAAGTAAAGTGACCGTACTATATGAAACCATCATATCCAGTACTATAGTTACTCATGAGCTCGTCGCAGTGCAGGAAGCCGATAGAAATCGTTATATATAATACCGCGGTCTTCTTCGAAAATGTTTGTCTTGGGTATTCTATGAACTATGAAAAAAAGAATGTGTCGGAAAAGGCGTTGTACATGATACAGTTTGAAATCTGGATGAATTGAGTGATAATGTTCGAAAAGAAAGATTAGTTGTGTTCTTCAAAATAATCTGAGCTAGAAGTGTCAGTTTCCAGTGTCGCTCCTAAGGACGGGAATCCATTATGGGTTTATGTACCCAGCAACCCAGAAATAAACTGTGACTTGTACAAAATGAAAGAAAAGTACCACAAAATATCATAGGGTGTGTTTAAAACACAAAAAAAAAACAATTCACTAATGTATTTGTGTTGCTTCGAAACGGAAATTTAGGGAACAAGAGTCCTGAAATCCCTAATCCGAACTCAAGCATAAATATAATAGTTTCAATGAGATCTCAATGTCCTAAATCACTGTTGTTTGCCTAGGTGCTTTTTGTGTTTTTCTCGACTAGGTATTAGTAGATGTTTAAGTTGCTACAAGAAAACGTTTTATCCGAAGATGTAGTTTTGGTCGGTGATGTTGCTAAAGCCAAAAGATATTCTCATGTCGATTTGCTAATTCCTCAATGAAAAACTAGTAGCTATTCTATGAGCTACTTTTTCGAAACAGATAATCTGGTTCACGATTTATCCAACCGAGAACTTCTCTTGGAACTTTCGCGTTTTATCTATGAAAATAAAATTATACTCACAAGATGATGCTATTTCTTCAGCCGATGTAGATGTCGCTTGTCCAGTTCCTTCAAACACGATAAAAATTCAATCAATTATTATACACTATCTCACTCAGAATTCAGAAGGAAATCAAATAGAAACTCATCTCGATTTCTAAGACAAAATTTTTCTAAACTTACCAGAGACCTATTTGTTGCCTAATTCTGACGTTAAATCCATCTCTTCCTTTGTTTCTATGAGACATGACTGAGACGAAAGCTTTTTTTCTCCTGATTGTGAGAGTCCTTCGTTTATTCTCACAAGAACAAAAACCGTCTTATTGTGAGAGAAACAAAAAACAACGAACAACCAAAACAATAACAAAAGCAAGACGCTCTCTCCCTCCTCTAAGAAAGACGACTAAGGGTTATGTGATACGATATGGTAATGGTGTAAGGAGTTCCTGACGGAAATGGATTACAAAGTACTTCAAAATTTCTATACTTTATAGAAAGTGATTTATCTATACATTCTACAACAATCTATAAAGATATAGACGAGAAAATAAAAAGAGTCTATATGAATTTATAAGATTTAAGAAGCATCTGTCAGATTCTATCAATAGGTATCAAAGGCTATAAACATCTTTAAGCGTTTAAAAGCAACTGTAAGGTATAGCAAGATCTATTAACATCAAGTAGAGTCTATCAAGGTATAAGGTCTATTAAAGTCTATTACGGCCTATTGAGGTCTAGTAGGGTCTATTAAAGGACTACCAGGGTCTATCAGGATCTTTTCTCCCTCACCTTCATTCAGCGAAACGCCCTGTGTGTGTGTGTATTTCTCGCTCACCCTCACCCTCGAGACGCATGCATCGGTATTCATCACAAAACGAAAGTAACTCACGCCTCTTACTTGATAAAGTATTAAAAGGTGTCATATTCGATGAGATAGAGCCTGCACTAACTCGTTCTCCACTCGCACATTCTGATTTGTGACGAAGCCAGTCGGCCGAACGGCATGCTTTGGAACAATAGCAAGTCCGACAATAGGGACAACGTTTGCTTGTGCTTGTCAAGACTTGACACTTTGCGCAGGTAGGCATGGCTGTATGCGAATATTATGCTTGCTGTTCTTATCTTTCAACAACAATTGTGTGCAAAGTATTTCCTTGATCAATTCCCTAAATGAAGAAGTGAGAGAATAGCAATTTTTCCTTCTACCTTGTTCTGATTGTTAGGAGATAATTATCAATTTGCTTTGCTCAATATAGAAATAACTTTCAGTGCAGCCTTATGTGGGATCAAAATGTGTAACCCATATATTCTGATCGTAATAAAACTAATTTAACGATAAGAAACAGTTGCAAATAGTACAGTGCGCAATCTTTATAAGCTGAGACTAATAGTGTAGGAGGGCAATTTATATCAGTCTGTCTAAAATATGGTATCAAGTTGCACGAAGGAAAGATGACTAGAGTTTTTGATAATCAATGTAAAACATTGATACGATCATTACGGTTGGGATATCAATTAATGTAAGGAAGTAGATAACATTTCTTAATCCTTTATCATAGAAGTTATTAGGTAAATGAGTCATTAGCGAAACGTAGTCATTGATCTTAACCATGGTTGCTAAGCCTTTCGGTCACTAGAGAAAGTCAGATGTTTATCTTTGACTCCGACTTCTAGGCGAGCCGGAAAACTTCGATTTCAACTTACAATCACTATAGTTCTTTGAAAAATATATTTGGGTTCCACAAAATACTAATTAATAAGACACTCTCAATACCATGAAAAGATAGTCCATAGTCGACAGTATCAATGGTAAAAAATCTTTTGTAACTCCTGTCGTTCTTTTAAAAATGAAAAGTTAGTGAAAAGTATTACTCTGAACAATAATCCAAATCTGGCTAAGTATCTATACTTGTAATGTTTGGGTCTCCATAATAATTCATCCGTTTGAACTGAAATTATTAGTTTCCTCCTGCCTTCGTTAGGCCTACGTACTGTGAAAATATTAGCCAAATAGGTGGAATGATTAAGCAATGTTGATTATGGCTTAGGTGCCATGGTTCCTGGGTTATAACGCACACACTTATATACGTATAGACACAATACGAAGTTTAGACGATTGAGCACTCGCATATACTTATGTGAATAATCGTCTTATTCATAAGATATAACTTTCAAGGAAACTAGCTGCTAAGCTGTTGCAACTTACTTTGCTAGTAATAACTTGATCGAGTTATTCCATCGTTTGAAAAGATTTTTACATTATGTATGACTTCGTAGCTCTCTTTATACCGAAAGAAGAATAACAACTAGGAAAAAACCCACTAGAGAATTGACAAAGAAGTCTACTCGCCAGTGAGTCATTATCATTAAAGATGTCACCAACGGACCGGGGCGTATAAGCATGCACATCGGCCCATCTTTAGATTTTCAAAAGATATATATCAATCGATGTAGAATTTAACGGCGAATCTTTTGCTGATAAATTTAGCCTCTTTTGGAAATGACTGAACGGTTTCCGACGCAGATTACGACACTATATATTTTTACCATTTTCACCTAACCCATTCGCTAGTATTTTGATAATTACTTACTCAAAACGATTGTCTGTCTAACTTTGAATAGCCGCATTTGAAAGAGCGAGAACTTCTGCACAAGTTCATGTACGGATAAAATATGAAATAGTACTGATAAGCTAAAAATAATATATGATTATGAGAATACAAAAACAATGAATGTATTTTGAAAAAGGAACTTTTCTGTCTTTTTATATACGGTGCAAAGATATTGCTTTGTTTAAATTTTGGGTGTGGTGTGGGTGTGGGTGTGTGGGTGTGGGTGTGGTTGTGGGTGTGAGTGTGAGTGTGAATGCGGGTGTCGGTGTGGATGTGGGCGTGGATGAGTGTGAGTGTGGACGTGTATGAGGAGAAGACAACACCCAAACCCACCCACACCCACACACCCGGACCCACACCCACACACCCAGACCCACACCCACACACCAGACCCACACGCACACACCCACACACCAGACCCACACGCACACACACCAGACCCACACGCACACACCCACACACCAGACCCACACACACTCACACCCACCTCCACCCACACCCACACATACCCACACCCACACCCCGCTATTCTAGTGATTAGACACATTTGAAATAATATTCTGAAATAAATCTAGTTTGCGATTTCATCATGAAAGTGTTTCAAAATAAAGATTCACAGTTTCTGAATAATTAGTCCTGCTTATTTAATAGAATTGTATCACAATGGAAAAAGTGCGAACGCGTCACTTATTCTTATCTACATCTAATAACTTCATAATTAAATTTTTTAAAACAATGGATAATGAAAAATATAATTGTTATCGAAATCGTACGGATAATTTTTGCGTCTGAAACATGCATGATCCTCAAAGATTGACTTCTCATTCAATATAGATTCAGTCGATAACGTTGGTTTTTTTACTGTAAATAGTAGAAGACATGGTGATTCTTTTGATATTCAATAAACCTTAAAAAGTGTGTATTTTGAC